GGCCACACTGCTGCTGCTGCTGCTGCTGGCTCTTGGTCTCTACTGCTCAGTAATGGCTTTCTGCCCTTAGGGCAAATTAGGAATCACCATGGGCATGAGACTGAAAAGTTTCCTTCTATTTAATCACCATTAATCTCTTTGGTTATTCGATTTCAGTCTACATTCTTCTACTAACTGAAACCAGACATCTGAATCCAAAGTAAGTTGAACTGGGTTTGCTGGTTCAAGTCTAAGGAGGCTGTCTTGCGAATGGCAAGAGAAAGGAGGGAGGGAAAGAAAGACAGAGAATATGAAATCACTACCAGGGCAACAGTAGTGATAGTGACAGTCTGGTAAGTGACAGATAATTTCAGTGGCACAGCCACACCATCGCATTAGAAAAACTGATTTAACTCTCAAAGATCTCACTTTCTGTATTTACCCAGATTTGGTGTCTGGATGAGCACTTTCTACTGAGCATCCCTGAGATTGTTCCGGTTCCCTGAACCTTACTGTTCTTTATAACAAGTTTATCAAGACACGGCAGGCCTGGAATTCACTCCTGAGGTTCTTCTAATTCGTCTATTCCCCACTCTTATTTCTTTGTATATTTCCCTTTGAAAACACCCATACTAATAAACACTTTTAAAGTTTACACTAATTCTTTTTTTAATTAATTTTTATTAATTACAACTTATTCATTTTGTATTCCCCCATAGCTCCCTCTCTCCTCCCCTCCACCTTTCCTCCCCCTTCTCCACCCATGACCCTCCCCAAGTCCACAGATAGGGGAGGTCCTCCTCTCTTTCCTTCTGATCCTAGTCTATCATGTCTCATCAGGAGTGGCTGCATTGTCTTCCTCTGTGTCCTGGTAAGGCTTCTCCCCCCTCAGTGGGAGGAAGTTTACACTAATTCTAAACTAGATTTTAATAATATGTATTCTGTCACTTAGTTTAGATGCCAATATTTTTTTCAATTGCTCACCGTTATAGAAAAAATAAATTCCCGTTGGTCTACTCATGGACAGTAATAAAACTTTCTTGGTCTGCTATACATTAGAAGCATATTTTGTTAATATGTTTTTAAAAAAGTGAGTTAAGTTGCCGAAACCTAAACACACACACACACACACACACACACACACACACACACACGGCAAATGACTTCACAGAGGTTAGAAGACTTGAAAGAAGGGCTAAGGATAGTTTTCCTAAGCTGTCCTTCAAGCCAGAGTAAGTGCAGGAAGGTTTTCCCACTCTCCCACTCTCGGCTCAGCCTGGACAGAGCACAGCAGGCCTGGGCATCCCGGAGCCTCGCAGCCCCGCGGCCCGGCCCCGCCCCCCGCGGCCCGGCCCCGCCCCC